TCAACTCAGCCTTGATGTGAGATGTTTCACACCAGTGGTAAAAGTCACGATCCAACAAGTCTGGCACTGATCTCATCAACCCTGATTGCGATATGCCCTCCTCCGTCGGACCTGTCTGATGATGACCTTTCCGCCCACCCTCCCTCCCTCATCAGCGGGATGGAGCACACATGACAGGAAATGAATTCCACTCAGAGTGTCCATCGATAGACGAAGAGTCACAGTCTGTCGGTTGCGTGACAATTGTCAGATGCTCAGTCGAAGCAGTATGCCTGACTGCGGCATGACAGACAAAGACAACCTGTTGGCTAGCTACCGCAACTGATTTGATAGAACGGCTACTGTTGGTTCCTCTGTCTCGCAGATGTGACCGGCCACCCCCTGGCGGGAAATGCCACAGTGTCTTTAGTATGATGTCAACCCTTTTCTCCCAATGCAGATGCGGAACTCTAAATCCACAGAGTTCGAGACCAGGGTATGTGATCGACTCCTGTCGGAGGACTTTCGATAGCCACAATCTCTCTATTTGCTCTGACTGGCAAGCGAAACTCTCAACTAGGCTGCCATCGTCGGCCGCCACCCTCTTTGATGATCCGCATAACCGCCAGTCTTGCTTGGTGTTGGGGAAACCTAGTGCAGTAGTTCTCGGAAACAAGTAAGCGTCTGATTTGCTATGTGTTCTGGAAAATGTTGGGTTAAATTTATGCAAACATGATGTAGATCGAATCACCAACTTTCACACTTAATATGTCAAGGGGCCGAAAAGAGCAAGGCGAGAGCTGCATGCGTAGTTTACTGTTCCTTGACCAGCTTTATCCCTACATGTTGTTATTTATTTTTTTAATTTTTTTCTCACCTTAGTATCCTTGTCGTTCTCTCTCACTTTTAGTCTTTCTCTTCGGGCATGCATTCCTTTACCAATTTGAGTAGATAGTGTTGTTGCGGCACAGTTTGGCCGCAGTCATTCAAACTGTCCTCTCTATCATCTTCGACTGAGTCCAAAAGCTGCCGCAATCCCAATCTTATTTAAAGGGTCATAAAGACCCGTCGAATACCTCAATCCATCATCTCAACAATCACAAATTCACTGCTCTCAGAATCTCAGTGAACAAAGCAAAACAGCTCTTCTGGAACTTGAACTACTTCTCCGAGTGCGGAATTACCCTTTGCTCAAGTGAAACGACCGATCTTCCGCGAACAACAACTCAATATCAACACTCTCTGTAACCGGTCTAACTCGAAGGCTATTTCTTCAAGATGTGCTCGCAATACTTCTACAAGTACGACTGCGGCTGCACCCTCCCGGAAGGCGACGTCGTCTACTGCGCCAAGCGAGGCACCTCCTGCACCGGCGTCAGACAGCAGATCCGACGACGAGAGGGATACAACTGCCCTGCTCATGGAGGATAGCGCTTAAAGAAGTCAGTTGGACACTCTTCTTTCAAGATACAGGGATGAGGATGAGCTGGACTGACAGTGTGGCAGACTTGAGCTCCTGCGCAATGATTGAGAGCTCGAGGGACATAATCTACGATTTCTCCATTGCGCATTGCTGCTTGTTTCAATGCATGCAGGGAAGGGGGCAGCGTCTGGGCGAGGAGCATGAAGGCATCTTAGTTTGAAGGAAGAGGAGGAAAACTATGGGAAGGATTTATGTGGTACTTTCTTTCATGCCCCATGCGTACATACACGTTTCAACTACACTCTTGTATCTCTGTTTGCTTTCCAGCTGCTCTTGTTTTGGTTGCATCTGTTACACACCTCGCAATGATCAAGGTCCTTCTGCTCCTCGTTCCAGGTCCCTTTGCCTGTTGACCAATTACCCATCTGCATCTATCTGCATCGCTTGCCTTTTTGTTTCTACTTGGATAGTCGAATACCACGCTCCTTCTGTTGCTTCTTCAAACTTGTTCCTCGTAACAGAGAGAGTACTAGCTCTCTGCAGTGCAATGCAGATCACAGAGGAAGCCATGTGGTATGCTGATCTTCAGCCATTGAAAGGCACCACAATGAAAAGAAGGCTACAGCCTGATGCAAACTAGTAAATTTTCCAGAGTGCATAGTGCTAGGAGGTCTGTGGCTTGAGAGAAGGGCATTGAGAACACTCAGGAGCCGCTCGATACATGTCTGGAGTTTCGGAATTTCGGAGTTCAAGAGATAAACAAACATAGACTATGACAAGCAGCAAGCTAGCAATTTCAGAGAGACTGCCTACCGCAATCGAGGTCAGTTTCTGATCTCAGTCACCTAGACGACCCCACTGGTGCAATATCAATTCCAGAAGACCCTGGTCTTCATGACTGGTAGATAATGCGCATCACAGGTTACATGGTTGCATTAGCAACGCAGACGACTTCAATCATCTGATGTCAAGCAACCAATCAGCGGCTGAAATCGGGTACACACGACTGAAGTTATCAGTGTCGATCTAAGCCAAAGTGGAACCAACACTGACGCAAGCACTTCACTGGGGGAACCAAAACAAGATGTTTCAGGAAGCGAAATAGTAGCGCCTACCTTGGACGCAAATCTTGGTAGGCTAAGGGAAGAGGGGAAATGGTGAGAAGAAGGGTTGCCGGCAGGATCATAGCATCATAGCATCGTGGCAGGATGTTCGTAATCATGAAACAAACATGCAAGCCTTTCAGATCAGCAGTCTTTGAGTAGTAGAGGAACGAATCTCAGAATCGTACATCAACTTGACGAGGCGTGGGGGGAGGGGCGATTTGTGTCTCTCCGTCAAAGAAAACGATCGATTTGTGGCGCATTTTCTTTGCGCCAAGCTCGCTGTTGAGTGCCTTGAAAGAAAACAAGATGCGGAGTTTCCGGTTCGACCTGCCACCAGCTTGCCGCAGTCGAGGGGCCTAGATTATCAAGCAGGCTATGACTGTAGCGCTTTCCATCAGAAACATAACAGGCATCGAGGCAATCGATCCCGATGGCGAAATTTCTCATCCTCTTCCTGGAAGACGAACAATTAGTAGACCAATGGGTGTCTCCAATGCCCCTGCACTGTTGGTGCCTGACGGTGGGTTGAAGTCAAAAGGATAAACATCTCATGGCCCGGTTGCACAGCAGGTCTCATGGCAGCCCTGAACCTTGATAGTCCTTCCAACTTTTCCAGACCACGAGTCGATAAGCAATCTTTACCGCCAGGAGTCTTCTTTCTTTCATCAAGCATGATTCTGTCAGCTTTCTGCCAGTTTCTTCTCGTATCCACGAGAACAAGTCGGGAAGAAAGTGGGTGAACCAGACTGCTGGGACAGCAACGTTTAGCGGTGTGACGGCCGTCTGCAGTAGATGTGCCCTTCCAGAGTGATCAACCAGCTCAAAACGAGGCCTACAAAGAGAGTTAACTTGGTTTTAACCGTTGTGTAACTGATATACAGCCAGGAACAGCAGTTGCCTGAAGATCGTGAGTCTGCTGGTTGTTTGACGATGTTGGGTGTTGTTGTCATCACGTGACTCAACCAGCAGACAGCCCGAGGAATCGCCGTTATGGCGTCAGACATTATTCTTGAGCGCGACTGACTCTCGTCTGCGTCATAGTCAAAATTGGAAATTGCTTCTTCACATCAAGACCAACAGATAGCTGCGCAGGTCGTCTTTGTCCGCACATGTAATGTCCATAGACGTCAACTGGAGGTCCGCCACCTCCGGTCCAGACGGGGAAGCTCTTGCTGAGCGTATCCGATCCTTCATCCACGATAGATTCCAACAGGTCGCTCTGCCCCGGTTCATCCGTTCTGTCCATGTCCACGCTTTCGATTTTGGGACCATTCCGCCGGAGCTCGAAATTAAAGATTTCTGTGAGCCCTTTGCCGACTTCTACGAGGAAGATGATGACGACCATACGTCCGATGCGTCCGAAGAGCTTGGCTCGGAGCACTCGAGTCAGTGGAATAGAACCCATCCGGAGCTCAAGGAACCCTCCTATCGCGAAGATACAGCCGTGAACCATTCCTTACGACATCCTTTCCCCGACGGGTTTCCTGCGTCCCCCTTGCGATCGCCCTTAGGCGAGCACCTCAATCCCCATTTCCTCCCGCGTGCCGGTACTCCTGGTATTCCGGGTGGAACTTCGACATTAGGTTATCACCTGATGTCGCTCGGCGGGCTCTCCGGTACTCAAACACCCCTTGCTGCAGTAGCGGGGGAAACCCATTTGCGAGCGGTTGGTCGGATTCCGGCATGGGGCTGGGGAACAGGGGTCGTTCGGAGAGACACGCCGGGATGCAGCACCAACGCGCCGAACCCGAGATCGACACCAGCAATTCGACATCCCGTCCGTCAACAGCAAATACCCTGCCTTCCCATCCCTCGGGCTCAACCAAGAACAGCGGGGAAGGCGCGACCGGGAGAAACGACCATCCATCACTTCATGCCGGGGAACACCTAGAGGACCCGGTTGCGCCGGGGCATCTACCGTTACCCCCTCGGATGCGCGAGCGCCGCCCGGAAGATTTCCAAGTTCTCTGCCATGTCAAGTACGCCGGCGACGTACGTTTATCTTTGACGGCAGAGATCCTCCTAGACTACCCGATGCCCAGCTTCGTCGGTCTGCCACTAAATCTCAATGTCACAGGCATCACGTTTGACGGCGTAGCTGTCATCGCATATATCCGTAAACGAGTACATTTTTGCTTCTTATCCGCAGAAGACGCGGACGCCCTGATTGGCTCCGAACAGCAACAGCAGCAGGAATCGGCCGGGGATGACCACCGTCCGCAGGCCCGACCTGACTCTTCCGCCTCGGCGTCCCAAAAGCGCCACGGAGGCTTGCTGCAGGAAATCCGGGTAGAAAGTGAGATCGGCCGCAAGGAAGATGGGAAGCAAGTATTGAAGAACGTGGGCAAAGTCGAACGCTTTGTCCTCGCGCAAGTGCGCAGGATCTTCGAGGAGGAACTTGTTTATCCTAGCTTCTGGACTTTTCTTATCTAATGCCCACATAATGAATTATGATTAAAGCTCAAACGAAGACATTTTTCTGAACAAGTTTAGCAAGCTTCGAAAATAGTAAATTTACTCAGAGATTGTGATACTTATTTCCTCCATTACAGTGGCTGGCCCGGGATCTATCCGGCTCTCGCGACAGTAGACTGTATCGTCGCACTGCGGGTTGCATAGCAACATCCGTTCAAATATACACGCTTAGAACCGTTCAGCGGCCACCTTTACATAACCTATGGCTCATGGAACGCTCGTTATATCATGCTGCCGAGTCAAGTCATCCGAGAAGTGAAAAGCTTCGCCATAACCGTCACACAAGGTACAGTATACGCCATCCGACCTCGATTTCTCCAAGAAACACTTCATCAATCAATATAGCTCACATTCAGCATGCTGAGCTGTCCTCTAGCGGATGAGCACTTCCTCAAACCAACATTGCCTACAACTTCACCCACCAACCCTTCCATCACAAACCAGACTCCTGAGGCCCGACCAAAGGAGCTTTCGCATCGCGAGGTACTTCTCCCAATCACAGATCCTTCTTGGAGCCGTCGTTGGTGGTGCCAGTGACCTTGTCGCCCAAGCTGTGGTATTCGCGGGTAAGTCCCTCACACTGCTTCTTCAGGGTCTCAATGTCAAGGTCCTTGGCCTCAATCTCCTTCCTAAGGCGTGCAATCTCTCCGATATCACCAGCCTGAGCGAGGCGGACAGAGTCCTTGCCGCCCGCCTTCTTGTCGCCCTCAAGGTGCTTGACGCGGTCCTCAAGGCGAAGGACCTCCAGGATCATGGTATAGGTACGGTTGAGGATGAGAGACAGGAAGAGAGTGAAGCCACAAAGGTACATGTTCCGCTGAGAATAGAACTTGCGAGCCTGGACTTCCATGCGATCTGTGCCAAGTGCGGCCGCTCTACTAATAACAAACGCATTTGCGCATACGGTCAGAACAGTCACAATGTCAAAAGCAGGGGACATTTATAACGGTGTGCTTACCCCATGGCATTGCCTTCCTTGGTGAAGGAGGCGAGCTCCAATTGCACGCGATAGACGCGGTTGACGCTGTCAATGAACAGAATCAATATGAATATGAATGTGATCTAGAAATTTATTAGTAAAGGATACATCCAAGGTTCTCAAGTTCGAGAGGTTACCTTCAATCCATACTGAAATTTCGCTACTAAGGGACTTTCCGAAATGAATGTAAACAGCTTCCGCTTGACAGTGAAAGGAAGCGGGATGATCAGGCCCATGAAGACGGCCATCTCAAATACCAGGAGGCAGAAGACCTTGAGAGAGACCAATCAGCACGGAATTCACTTCCTGTAAGGTCAATGTATTGGACACTGTAGCTGAGTGATGTCGCCGCAACCATCCAACCGGTTTAGGCTGCAATACACCCCCATAGCTCAGGTTGCGACAAAGATCATAGCTTCAAAGATAAAAGTCTACATACCAAGCTGTAGTAAAGAGTCATTTTGGCTCGAGTATTGTAAGAACGATCTAGAAGATTTTGATAGTTGTTGCACTTCCAAGGTTGCAACGGAGTCGTTCGCGAGAAAGGTTCAGGAGGATAAACAAAGCGTTAGAGAAGCTAGAAAGGGTCCCAGGGCTGTATCAGCAACGAGTTAAAGGCAAGATTGATATCCAGCAAAACTTGAAGGCCAAATCTTGAAGATTTTGAAAGCAGGGAATAGGAATGATGTTACGTATGCTAGTGCAAGAGGAGGCTGAGGTGGTCTTTTGGCAGCTTTTTTGAGGCGTGACCGTGTGAGGAAGACGTCATCACCGCTCAGATCTGCTACTTCTCACGTGATCGTCGTCCTTAGGCGGATATGTCGCTTAGTGAATCCTTGATGTCCTAGCTTGATGCATGATAAATATGTACTTTTTTTTCACATCATCCAAGTATGTACATTTATATGATGACTTCCATGAATTATATCTTAGTCTTCTATACTTTTGTGGCACCGCCCCGTCAACCCTGCGGCTCGTAGGCGTTGGACTTGTGCTTCGGCTCGAATTTGAAATCTTTATGTGCTGGACCGAGGAACATTTCCCTAGAAATAGTTGATCAGTATCGTATTCATAAGAGGTTCCTGAGCGCAGAGACAACTTACGTGATTTTGATCCAGTCTTTGTAATTAGGACTGCCCAGGAGGGTTTCCAATTCATTTCTGCCCCTCCAAGCAGGGGGTCTGTCTTGAATGTGAGGGGGAAGATACTCGAGCAGTCCGATGGGTACATAGCGATAAGTAAAGCTCAGCCATTCCAGCATGAAACGTCTTGTCGTGCCAACGCCATGCTCATCCGAACCCCAGGTATCTAGGCCGTACTTGGCGTATTTCTCGACCATGGCCAATCTTTCGGTGGCTGATTTATCGAGGTACTGACCTGCCTGAATTTCCTCGAAGACCCATGGCTTGATAATTGCTCCTCGACCGACCATGACGGCATCCACGCCGGCATTGTTGATATGGTCGTCGTAGTCATGGTGGGAATAACAATCTCCATTTCCGAGGAAAAAGACCTTGCCACCGTTTGGCAGCATACGTTCATCTGGTTCTCGAACAGTATCCGTGACATCATCTTTCTTCTCGTTCAGTCGTTTGATAAGTGCGGCGCATTCGGCGATGTAGCTCCAATCCGCCGATTTCGTATATCGCTGCTGTCTGCTACGTCCATGGAGGGTAATGGCCGCGACGCCAGGAGGGCCGATATTCAACATACCGGATTCATGACCTCCAAGAACCAAACGTTCAATAAGTTTCGTGGCATTCGGAGAGTTGTCTCTTGTTCCTGTGCGAATCTTGACTGTGATCGGGATCGTCTCCGAGACGGCATTCATACCACGGAGCATCTTCTCCAGTTTCGAATGATGGTCAAGGAGGGCGGAACCTGCTCCTTCGCGAAAAACTTGGTCGATAGGACAACCGCAGTTCAAGTCAATGACACGCAGGTTAGGGGTCAGGCGCCCCAACAGCTCTGTAGCTTTGATGGCTTGCCAAGGCTTGTTGCCTGCAATTTGAGCACCGAATCTGAGATCCTTGGAGTTGTCATAGCCCTGCACAACATCGGCTGTCGATGAGATTGTGGGCGGAAGCGCTTCGGACTCATGCGCTTTCATCAGCGCCCATTCTGATTTTTGACCCTGAATCAAAGACATGCCCATGGCCATTTCAGAATACGTAAATTGGCAGCCATAATCTATACATAGCCTCCGGAAGGGGAGATTTCCCTGCGTCGTTAAAGGCGCTAGGGCAGGAGTCTCCGGGCCAAAGTAGATGCGTCGCTTCTCTGAGGGCAAGAATGGTGGCTCGACGTAGGCTGCTCGGTTCTCTTCAACCTGGTTCTTGGTTTGAGCACCCGCTTCTTCGTCCGCTCCACCCTCTTCCAAATGCCGACCATGAAGGTTTTTCTCCAGTGCCTTCGACGTCTTGTCGAGCCACGTTAAGTATGCGTCAGATCTGGGAGTCTTTGTCTTTCTCCGGGCTACCGCAATCTTATCCTCGTTTGAAACAATGTTCACAAGGCCGTCTTCTGACGCATACGGAACAACCGGTCGAGCTTTTCCCTTGCGCTCCTCATCCTCGAGTAGGATCAGCTCTTTTCTCCCATCAGAAGTATCTCGCTCAGCCATGTGGGAGCCCACAAGGCGACATTTGAACCCATACGGGCATCTGCCTTTGGCGTCCCATATCGGACAGATGCCACCAAAAGTTGTAAGATCTTCCCGCTTATGCTCCTTCAGGTACGTTCGCAGATCGTGTTCAAAGCGACACTTCTCGTCGAACTTACAATCCTTCGGCGAGAACTCTGGACTGAAAGCTCTTGACGGACAAAGACCTTTCGCATCTTCGGATCTTCCGAAATCGCGCCCCTTGTTCTGACCGGAGGCCTTTTTCTTTCCTTTTTGTTCGCCCTCTCGTTCCTGGTAGTGAGCGGCTTCGGCCGCATCGTCGGCACTGAGACTGACCGCGCTCTCTTCAACGGGCTGGGATCGCGCGGATTTTTGGACTAGGAACCTATTATAGTCACGATTAACGGTGTATCAACAGAAGGAAGACACGGTCATGCATACTCAGCCTTGATTGGGGCTACTCCCTTCATACGCTTGGGAGCGCCGTCGCTCACCTCCTGCTCGGTGATAGAGGCGCTTTCCAATCTCTGTTTCTTGGACGGATGCTCTTCATTGTTGGCAGCAACCGCAGCGCCGTTCTCGAGCTCGTGCTTGGGCATGACCACCGTAGGTTCTGTCCGGGTAGTAGGCTCCATGTTGGCACTCGAAATCCCAAGACCGCAGCCTTTACTTCTCGCTGCTGAATATTAATCGGACCGGAGGAAGCTGTGAATCCCAAATTGAGCTTATCGGGTCCAGTTCAAGCCTCTACTGGAACGGCTTATCGAATTGGCTGGATACAAAAAATTCCAGTTAGAGACGGCGGAGATAGTGAATTTTGCATTGTTTGCATGATGGGAGGTGGCGTTCCAAAGGCGGTCAGTCTGAGCTCGGAAGGCGGTGCAGCTTGGGTGGCTGGCAATTTGTAAGCTCCAATTATGGTGAGGTAAGGTATGGACTAAGGTACGGAGTAATGTCGGGCTGTTTCTTTGGGCGGTCAGCGAGCAGAAATACACTAACATGACTGCCATTGCCTTACAGGTTCAATACCTACCTTACCCTGGTTGTTTCTTCGGAACCAGTTAGTAAAGCGATCTACGGTACAGAGTACTTGCGTACCGGTCGAACGGGTCAGTGATTATTAAGGGATCCACAAAAGTGGCCTTTCTTTTGGTTCGAATGTTTCCAGAACAATTTACTGCCTAGGCTAGTACTAACCTCTCCAGTTAGCCGACGATAGTGTGCTTATCGTTTCCGTGAAATAGAGGTCAAGCGATGTCTCTGTGGAAGTCATATGATCTGATCATCTTATGGAAAGGGATAGTAGTCAGGAAATGGTTTGATAATTCCATCAAGCCCCATCGGGGACTGTGAATGAGTACTAGGTCTCGAAGCTGACGCATCATGGAGGAAACAATTACTTACCTTTCTACTTCGGAATAAGTGGCTGGTTTAGGCAAAGCATAGCCATAAGATGGCCGAAAGATCCATAATACCTTGGATCAATACTCTAATAATAAGTATTGCTGTGAAACTGTCAGCCTTTCCAATCGCAAGCCAAAATTCAGCTAGACCGCTAGAGTATGCGGTTGATCCGAGGGAATTGTTGGTACTTTATTACTACGCAGGTACACCGATCCCATTACGTATTTAGCCATTTCTGAAAAGCATAATGCGCAGTGCTGATCATAGGTAGAATATTAGTCCATGTTCAGAGATTACCCATTCAGAGTATTGCTCAGATACACGGATTGGATCAAGGAACAATCATTTTACAATTTGATTGATATAATGCTATGCAGCAACAAAGTGATGGATGTTCAAGTACAGTTGAGAGATCCTCACTCCGAAGATCTACCTGTCCGATATTTACTCCGCGCCTCTTGCATCAAGCATGTCCAAGTGTGCGCCATTACAGGCGCAGCGAAATACATTATTGGCGTATACTCCAGTATGAAGCAGTATTGAGTTGCGAAGTCTCTAAAGATGCAGCTGATGTATCAGCTTTGTTGGCGAGACAGTATATGAAGCATAGCCTCGATGAATACAGACTACTGTGTCAATTGAAATAGTTTGAGGAATCAAAATGTCGGAGAATCAGGTCTAAATAGGATAACACGTGGCTGGACAAGACAAAATCCACATGTCTCAGTGCAGGTATCCCTTGGGACCCTTGCATACTGTTTGCCGTCCACAGTCGGTTAATCTTATCTATTATCTTGTATTCACTTGAAGTTCGGGTAATAACTAGTAAGGCATGTGGGCATGGAGATCATCGCCGAGGCAGACTCCAATTATGAGACTCTTTCTGAGACTTGGCTCAAACGACTGGACTTCGAGTAATCTACATAGATTACTTTGATCCCCAAGCCGGCCCTAATCCGTCTGCCCTCAGGGACTTTTGAACCTATGGATAAATACGTATCACCAGGTCTCGGTCCAACCTTCATTGTTCTGTCATGAGATGGTAGGCTGCCTACCTTAGAACGGACTTGTTTAGAGGGAAGGTCTGTCGAGGCCAAGGCGGACAGTAAGAAGCCACTAATTTCTTCTGTTGTGTTTCTAGCGGCGGCCAAGACAGACCTACCTTAGCACCCAAATCCGCTTACGGAGTACTGTACGAACTACCTTAGTGTATGGCTTATGCAGGAGACTTCCCCGGAGAAGATTAAGGACTCACCGTTCATGATTCATGTAGACCACTCGTCCATTGAATGAATGCGACTAGTCTATCGATAGTGCTGAGATAGAACGGCTGATGTGCTTGTCAGCCACACAAGTACTGATCAACTATCTATTAGCTGGTTATCGAGATCAGTCCTTGTGATGTACTGAAGACCAGCTTCAAGGGGAACGCT